AAATGGATATTTACCTAGGATCCATGGAAACCATCCTATCATTTGCCAGCGAAGAAGAAGGTCTTTATTTAGTAAATATTTGCACTTTCATGCTCTGTACTGCAGGTACATTTCCCAGTGAAAATTGTACACATACACATTGAAGTACCTTGAAACCTTAATTGTTAGTGCATGTAGGCTGTACGCTTTATTTTAATATATTTTAATGGTTTCATGATGTCATGACATCACAAATCTGTTTGCTTTAGCCATTCAATATCACTAAACATTGTAAACAATTTAGAAGCTTTGGCAACAGTTGGTCACAAGTAAAAACTTGTTGACACAGTATGAATATACAGTAGAGTGAAACATGTATCTCAGATAGTCTTTGAAGATACATTTTTGAGTTCATGCTGAGAACTGACTTTGATTGCTCATCTTGTCAAATCTGAGAACACTTTGAGACAATTAGATGTTTTCTAAAACGGGACATGAAATCACTAGGGGGAAATATCTAAGAAGAAAAAGAAGAAGAGTTCTTCATTTGATTTACATTGCTATAGAAGAATTGAGATAAATATATATCCTAAATGTATATTATTTTCCCCCCTGATCCTATGGGTATGTAGAATTAAAAAAGTTAAATTCACATCCTTGAATCTTAGTCTTTTTATCTGACAAAACTATTAGGATATAAGTCTTGTATGTTGTCATTACATAGCGATTTATACAGATCTAGATGAACTCACTCCATCTATCGTGTTTGTAGAATCAGCAGTGTTTATGAAGGTCTTTATTTGTTAATCTGCATGAGCAAATCGTCCCCCTGTGCTTTGATTTCTTGATTATATGGCAGGCAGTGAACAGAGGACAACAGCGGCCTGTGATGAGAACTGAACCTCTGGAATGAGTGTAAACACAGCGTTCAGAATCAACAGCAGGGCTGTTTACACGTCTGCCGCAAATTGCGAGGAGAATTTCCATAATCACGTTGTGTTTCTGTAGGCTTCATTTGGACCCCTGTTAGTCCCTGAAGATGTTGTCAGGTTTAAAGAGTTTCTGTAAGAATCAGGTAAAGGATGATGAGAGCGCAGTGGAGGATGAGTCATCTCGCTGCAAACACACAGTGATTAAGACCACAGAAAGCCATCCAACACACATGATTTGTTTCTGTGCGGGTGATTGTGGGAGAAGAATGAGGATGAATCAGAATTTGCTTTGTAATATTGTACATCTTTGTTCCATTTAAGTACGTGTTTTAGGATGGTAAACGGCTCCTATGAAAAAGTACCTTGATTTTTTTTAGACATGTACAGAGGAATTTGTAAATACCATGGTGGGTTGGTTGACCAAAATCTTAAATTTTAAATTTTTTCATTTGTATTTCCTAAATTTCAAGGTCACTGCTTAGTCCTATTTTAAGTTATCTTAACAGGAGTAGAGGGGGAAGTTTTTTTAAGCAAATTTCATGAATTAATTGTATTCTGAAGCACAGTATAAAAAACTTAAATGATATATTTGAAAAAGAACTTATTAGAGAAAATTAGAGATCACTTACAGATACCTCCAAGTTATTGGTGTTAATCTGGCACCTGGTGCTAATTGCCTTAATTATATGACAAACGTTTAACTGGCAGCATTCCTCTAATTTTCACTGAGATTGCAAGATGGCAGGCCACTCTAAGGTAACTGAAACCCTGCAACAGGAGGTTGTCCAGATGAAGGCTAGAGGGATGACCCTTTCAGCCATTGCAAGAGAAGCTGGTCATTCAAAATCTGTGATTTCTAGAATATTACATCTTTACAATGACACTATTTCCTTCAAGTCACCCAAAAAGGCTGGTCGTCCACGTAAGACAAATGCAAGAGAGGACAGGATAATGCGGAGACTCTCAATGGGGAATTGGTTCAACACTGCAGCTAGAATTGCTTTCCAGTCCAGTGCTGAACAGGGCATGGATCTGTCTCGGCATGTTTAAGAGAAGTCAGACTGAAAGCGCACTCTGCAGTGACCAAGCCTCTCATCAGTAGAAAGAATCAGAAGGCTAGACTAACTTTTGCTGAGGAGCATGTTGTGTGGTGAGAGAAGAACTGGTCCAAAGTTCACTTTAGTGATGAGAGCAAGTTTAATTTATTTGAGTCTGATGGGAAACATTTTGTTCGGTGTCAAACTGGTTAAAGACTGAAGCCCAAGTGTGTAAAGAAGTCAGTGAAAGGTGGATGAGGAAGTGTCATGGTTTGGGCGATGTTTTCTGCAGCAGGAGTTGGGCTTCTTATACAGCTACATGGCAGAGTGAATGCAAATGTTTATCAGAACCTCTTTCAGCCTCATGTGATACCTTCCCTGCAAGCATCTCCCAATCAACCTGCAATTTTCATTAAAAACAATGCCCCCGTCACACTGCAAAACGGGTAAACCAGTTCCTTGAAGCAAAGAACATTGAAATAATGAAACGGCCAGCCCAGAGTCCTGATCTAAACCAGATTGAAAATCTCTGTAAAATCCTTGACAGAAAAAAAAGTACACTGAATTTTTATTCGTACCACAGTTTGAGAAGCATAGTCTTAAAGGGATAGTTCACCCAAAAATGAAAACTCGCTGTTTATCTGCTTACCCCCAGGGCATCCAAGATGTAGGTGACTTTGTTTCTTCAGTAGAACACAAACAAAGATTTTTAACTCAAACCATTGCAGTCAGTCAGTCATATAATGGCAGTCAATGGTCCACGGTTTTGAGAGTCAAAAAAACATACACAGACAAAACCAAATTAAACCGCGTGACATCAAATAAATACGGTCGGGCAAAAAATTCCATGTTGTCTGATGATATATCAAAATCGTCTTCCATTGTGATGACCTGTACTTCTAAATATCTTTAGATCATTGCAGAGCCAGTGAACACGTCCACAATCTCTCTGCACTGTGTAAATAATGAGTGACGTATACGCGCGACAGATCGTAGATCGTATATAGTATAGATAGTATAGATGCCCTATTCGACCGCTCCAGATACGTTGACGCGTCCGCCATTTTGGAAAGTATCGCGGCCCATAGAAACAGTCACTAATGAGGCATCTACTTATAGATATATATATATCTATGTCTACTATGCCAGAGCACGTACATGCATCACGCGCCGGATGTTGAGAACGCGCTCAAAAAAAAAAAAATACAAAAAAAAAAGACAAGCTATCAAAGTGCCAGCAAGCTACTGCCCACGTCTCCCCAGTCGCCGTCCCATCTATATTGTTTATCTTCTTGTTCTGTACAAGAAAATGACCGCAAACCCTCCTCCCTGTTGTTTGTTGATGTTGTTAAGAACTCTTGCATTGTTGCTTTGTATGTGAGTTTGTAGAAGAACAATGGGACTTTTGGGATGGTTGTTTAAAGTCAACCCAGTCTGTAGTTAGTTGTATAAATTGAGTCTTTAAATTTACTCAAGGCGTCCTGCTTCTGTCCTGTAGTGTTAACTGGGCCTTACATTTCAATGTCAATAGCAATAGTTTCCTCAACAAGCTTGCCACTGCCCTCTGAAACCACATACACAGTCCGTGCCACTTTATTTTGGAGCGATGAAAGGCTCTTGATGAAATCACTCTAAATCTGTTGAACGCTTAGACCAGAGGGATGACTCAGTGCTGAGAAGAGGAAATACAATAAAATGAAATAACCTTCTGAACGTGCCACCTTTCCCTCAGCAGAGATCTCTGCTTCCGTTGCTGTTGTGGGCTGTAGGTTTATGACAAAAAGCTGAATAAAGAACTGATTATTTTTTTTATACCTGCTGCAGGTACCACAGCTTTTATGATTACAACTCTTCTCTTTCTTCAGCATGCTTTGTCTGTTTGTTTGTTTTTTCACATCTCCTCCCACACGTGTCTCAGATGTGTTCGGTTAAAAATAGACTAGATTAAACCAGCAAGTGAAGATCAGAGTGTGAAAGTCAGAGTGGAATACCGAACAGGAGAAAGTCCCATGATTCAGTGCTGTTCATTAATGCCATCTCTCTGTGTAATCCCAGAACTCCACAACATACAGCTCTCAAAATAGACCAATGTTTTGTGTGTCTGTGACATTAAAAGGAATAAAACAACAAAGCATTGACACAACCACACACAAATATACTATACTTTTCAATGACTATTTGTCCTCATATTTCTCAGTTGTTCTCTGTCGATTACAAACAAAGATGTGATTTTTGTCATGTTGGAGTGGAGCAGTCACTCCTTCTCGTGCACCACAAACTACTCTTACCTGTTGTATAAAGATATTGTAAGAGGTAAGTAGTATGCTATTCCCAATTCAGCCAGCATCACTTGCAAAATTAAACATATAATATCATCATGTGGCAATAATGTGGCATACTACTTTTTGAGGAACGATGCTCCATATTGTTTTAAATACAATTTTAAAATAGGCAGCATACACTATATGCTGCACAGTATTCAACAATATTCTGTCTTGAATGGCAATGCAGCGTTAACAACACTTTTTAAATTTAACCCAATTAACAGATGTAGAGGACTGCAAACTCTTCCTTCTGTCTGTTGATGGAGTACAGCTTACGCTCGGCAAACATCTCACAACATTCAACCAGTGTGTTAATGAATTATTCATCAGCTCACAGAAACTATTAAACTAAGCCTTTAATGAGAGAGTTTGAGATCATTAAGTTCAATGTACTTCAGTCAGACATTAATCAGCCAGTTTGTTCTTTATCCTCTGGTCACTTTTCATATTTATGAATGTGTCCAAAGTAATAATTTTGTGTTCATATTTCTTCATATTTTCCTTTTTATGTAATAAAAAATGAACCTATGCTCTAGTTTAGATTTTTTTTCTAGATTAGCAGCTCTCAAGCTTGTAACTGTGTTTGAATCTGTTTATGAATGTGGTTTAGTTTTTGTTTTTTGGGATAAAATCTGTGTGGTTTTGGAATGTTTTGGGCTCAGGTCACCTTCACATATCTGCTCTTAATATCTTTTCTGTGTCTGCTTGCTTTCTCATGTTTTTCCCAGAAGGAAACCTTTGAGTCAGAGACGAGCGTCCTGTCAACATGTTCAGCACCAAAAGGTCAGAGCAACACACTGGTTTGTTGTCTGTTTTTGTGATCTTTTATGAAAATTTACAGCAACTTGGAGGACTAGACTTTATTACTTTAGTTGTAGGCTCTTAAGGGCTTGATAAATCACTTGCAGATTAATGGAAATACATTTAGTTGAGTTTGTGTTATATTTAACCATACATTTTTGTCACAATGTTTGTTTGTTTTTGCACCATTTTTTGTCCTTTATAGACTTCATATTATGAGAAATGAAGTCATAGTGTTTTGTAGTAAGAAAACATCCTGTAGGTTTCCCTCTGATTGCATTTTCATTGCAGCCGTGTTTTCAGAGTGTCAAAAGCCAGGTTTGACTCATCTAACTGAATATGATTATGCCTCTTGTGGGTCATTGCACAGACACACACACTGAGTTTGACGCCACAGACAAATGTAATTGGTAGCTTGTGCAAGTAAAGAAACCAACTGGGATGCACAAAACTTACAAAAGCTGCGTTGAGAGCCTGTGACCTCAGGAAATTACATTGTTATTCTGCACAAGATTTACCCTCATGCTTGTCATGAATGCCACAGTATGTTCTTGAACACACAGTACAGATTTCAGCCTACTTACTAATTAACACTGATCGTATTAGTCATAAGCACGATTTTCTCAAGCGATGATTCTCATGAGATGTTCGTTTGGCTTTCTAGATGTGGTTTTGTGCAATGATCACAGAATCAGAGATCAGAAAAGCATGATTTTAAGGTTGTAGTTCAATTAGCCTATTAGCCATGTAGATATGAGTTTTGTTGGTCAGCCCTGTAAGTAACCCATTCTGATTAGCTGATGACATTTGACAGCATTAAATACAAGAGTGAGAAAAAGAAAGATTCATTAGGACACATTTTGGCTGCACACATGCAAAAATACACCTTTTCCTATACTCTAATATTTCCTGTGATTTTATAGAATAAGCCTGTTGTCATTTTGTTTTTGTTTTTTTGGTCACATTGTTTTGCATTCATTTAGCCACTAGTAGTGAAAGTTTGTTGTTTTTGTAGAAATTTTTGCATTAATGCATGTGTGACAAGTAGCCGTTTAAAAACATTGCGATGAAATGTAAAAAAAAAAAAAAAAGTAGGACAGGGACTTGGTTCTATATATTGGTTGTAGATTGGATTTTGCAAATTTTGTGATTTTGGGCATTTTGTGGGTTTGACATTTCGATTAAAGATTATAAAGTCGCATTATGAATTGTTCACAGTAGGATCAATAACATGCATTTATAAAGTATATAGGGGGATTTTTCATTTCATGCCAGCTTTAAATAAGAAAACATTTCCATTTTAGCAGCTCCTAAGTTTTAGCTTGTAAATATATGGTGCACTGTTTTTTACAATTAGTTTTTTCTCCACATCCTTCCACAAGTCACATGACTGTTTAGAGGAATTTATTTGGTAAATGTGTTTCTATTGTATTTCTTGTTGTTATCTTTCCGTTCAGCGTTTTTATGCAATATCCCAAAATTTGCGTAAACAATATGTGGGTGGAAATCCAACTAATGACCCTAATACTGAAATGACAACACTTTCCAACACTATTAAGGGTAACACACATGGTTTTGAACCAATCTGCATCCACTATAGAGCTCTTTTATTGTTTGTGTTCTCATGAGCAATTTAGTGGCTCATGTTTACATGCACTTGTTAAACTGTAACAGGAACACAGCTAAATTGAATCCTTCATCGCTGGGATTGTTTATTAAATGCATTACAGTTGGAGCAGCTCATTAAAAATGTTGCCCTGCCATCAGTCTTCTTGTGAAAAATGAGCCTTAGTTCTCTTTGAGGTCACTGTAATGTTGGGCGGCAGATAAGGCTTCCTCTAATTAGATTTAGCAATGTTTACGTTCCGAAACAAGCTCAGGTAGTAAGAGCTAAACCCTTCCACCGATGCCCCGGGCACAGGACTCATTACGCAGTCGTCACATCGCGGTCAACGGGAATCATCTTGACCTCCTGTAGCTACAGTGTAACTTAAAATCCAGCAAATATTCAGCTGACCTTGGGTAACAGAAAGAAGGTTCACCCTCCAGGTTTGTTTTGAAACAAATCCCATTATAGTTTAATTTAGTTCTGCATCCTTGTGTGATTCCTGTGCACTGACTGAAGTAGACACTAATGACTTCCTGCTTAAGCAGGAAGCGGCCGTTTTAGGATGCAGAGACTGAGCTGTCACATACAGGGTTTTAATTGCTGTCGGTGAGTTCTGTCACAATATTAAAGCAGTATTGAGTTGGACTCTTGAGCCACAGTGAACAGGAGGCAGTGATGCTGTGGATGTCATATTGTCAGGCTGAATGACATTATAAGAAAGGAATTATAGTGTCACAGAGAGCCTGCATTTCATTGAGAAAATAAAATACTTTGAAGATGATTGTTAATTTGACACAAACATGTCAGCAAGTGACTTGCTTCATCATTTACTTTGCTTGTGTGGGAATAGAGGCGCATGCAAATTGAATGGAATTAAAAATCTTTACAGTGTTTAAAACAAAAATGTATGATATTATACACTGTAAAAATATCAGTAGTAATAGGGAACAACTTACTGTATTAATATGAAGGAATTTTGCATGTTGTTTTTTTTCAGGTGTTTTGCCTTATTTTGAATTCGAAGTTAACGGAAATGTAATGTCTGTAAAAAAAATTACTCAGTAATATCCTGGCAGAAAATTACTTGTACATTTTCCTTTTTTTCCTTTTTTTTTTAACTGTAATTATAAAATTATATTATTGTGGATAGTGGGTATTTTACTGGACATTTAATTGTGCATGAAATTTTTCCTGTTAATATTTACGTTGTGCATGCTAATTTTTCCTATTTGTGTTTACATTACTTTTGCCGCCATCTAAAACAAATCTAAATTCCAAAAAAGTAGTTACATTGTTAAATGTAATCTTGAATATCAAATATAATATAATAAATATAATTATTTTTATAATTCATATATATACACATATATAATTTATATTGTTATTATTGTTATTATGAAGAATTTAAACAATTTGTTTTCATTTTTTGTGTTTTATTGTTCACTTTGTATTTTGTCCAGTTATCAGCCTTGGCATAAAAATAATTATCAGTTTACTGGTGTCAGCCAGAATTTTAAGTTCAGTGCATCCTTAAACTTTACCATCTTCTTTGATTACATGCTTATTGCTGATGCCCCATCTAGACCTGCCACTGTTGTCAGAAGCAAAATTGATGTAAGACAGATCACAGACGTGACGTTGACAGCAGCAATCCACACCACGCTGTTCCCATGTGTAATGTGGGCTCAAATCAAATCCCTAACCTTGCCAAAGAGAACACTGACATCAATGACCCACACTTGATTAGTTGCAACTTGAAAATGCAGAAGATGTTCTTCCTTTGGAGAGCATAAGACACAAAGGGATATTGATAATGCTCTTCAAAGGCATAAAGATCTAATCAGTGCAGAATGACCCACAATGCTGCACAGATTTCCTGATTGACACTGGGAATGCTTTGGAATTCTGAGAAGAAATGGTGGAGATGTGACAAGCTCAACCGATTACTGTCCCCTGCTGTTTCCTTACCTGAGGGGGATTTTGATTGGTGTTCTGTAAGGTTCATTAGCATAAAGGGGAGGTGTTTGTGAGTTATTCTGAGTGCGTGTAATCATTGGAAGCTGATTTTGGTTGTGTGCACTCAGGGCCCAAAATTAACACTGGCCAAGTGACAAATGCAAGTACAAATTGGATTTGACAAGTACGTGAAATAAAGGCCTATAACTTTATTAGGAATTGCAGCATTAGGTGGTTTAAGTTGAATTGTAAGAACCTAGAGACGTATAAGAGACGATGTGTGATTCAGTCTTTTTTTTCCTCCAGAACTTACTGTGGTGACACATATGTGGATTATTCCTTACATAAAGCCAACAAAATGGAAAAAAATGAAGCAGGCACATTCTGTATTTATTTAATTTGACTGGCAGCAGCCACTTTACGTTCACTTTCCTGATGATGAATAATATGCACTGAATCAGACAGCTCTTAAGAAAGACATGATGGCCAACGATGGATGTTTTTGTGAGCTTTTGTCTTGTTTATCTTTGCAGCCTAACATGAACGTACACCCTTCAGCTGTTGATATGTGTGATTGACGACACCACTGGCAGCGGAACGTGCTTGTCTGATCTGTTTGTTGTTTAAGATGTGTTTACTTCTGTCCTGTCTGTTCAGTGTGTCTTCTCATCATTTTAGGGTCCTTGCTGATGCACATGCAGTCATCTATCTGCGTTTTCTAGTTGCTGTGGCTTAGAGATACATGCGGTTGTTTCTTCAACTATTAGATAAAAAACACTTTATGCATATTTACCTTTTCTTTTGTTTTTGTCTTTACACATCATGTATCTCACATCAAGCAGAACTGAGGGACAGTCGTGATTTGTGTAAAAACTTACAACCATTTTCACACAATAAATGGTTTGTTTGTACAGTAAATTTTGAAATCATTATTATTTTTCATATTTTTCCATTGTAGTGGTATGTGTTTTCAAATATTACAACCCTCTACATTGCGAGTAAATCACTCGCATATGTGACTAAATCTTCACTTTCACTCTGGGCGACTAAATGATGTCTAATATTAGCCACTGGCTAATAAATTCTCAGATTTTACTCGCCAGTGTGTGAGTTGGAGGCTAAGTATAAGTTTAGCACGGATATATTTTCACTCGACGAAAACACTGATCGCTTCAGAGTTTCATTTGTCAAGCGATCTGTGCTATTTTTCAGTTCATCTGAATGGACGTGCAGCGCACCTGTATTTGACGTAGGCTACTGTAAACTCTAGTGTGAAGGCGCACGACACCCCGTCGCTTTGTCTCACACACATGCAAAGAGAGAGAGTCTTACATACCATGCAGAATTGATGCCCTACATGTAAACGATATTCTTTGTTGTATTTTCCTGTCAAAATAACGAAGTTCCTTTGAAATTC